ACTATCACATTCAAATTCTGCAGTCGTCCTGACCTCAACTCGTGTCATCCTCTATCTCATGAACTACATTGCGGGTGAAAAGCATATCACCTCATTATGCAAGAAATTATCTCCACCCCTCGTCACATTGCTTTCCAAGCCTCCTGAGGTCCAATACCTGGCACTGCGCAATGCTATCTTAATTATTCAGAAGAGGCCGGAGGTCCTGCGGAATGACATCCGAGTGTTCTTCTGCAATTACAACGACCCAATCTACGTCAAAGTCACCAAGCTGGAATTAATGTTCATGCTAACCACAAAAGAGAACATCTCCATCGTGTTGGCAGAGCTCCGAGAGTAAGAACATGTCAGATTGACTATATTAAACGTATACTGACATCATCTGCAGATACGCCACTGAAATTGATGTTCACTTTGTGCGCAAGGCCGTCCGGGCCATTGGCAAATTGGCAATCAAGATTGAATCTGCTGCAAAGCAGTGTATCGACACGCTCTTAGAACTGGTCGATGCCAAGATCCCATACATTGTTCAAGAGGCAACAGTGGTGATTCGCAACATTTTCCGCAAATACCCCAACCAGTACGAAAGTATAATCAGCCATGTTATTCGAAACATTGACGATCTGGACGAGCCTGAAGCTAAGGCAGCCGTCATTTGGATCATTGGCCAGTATGCGGACCGCATCGATAACTCAGATGGCCTCCTTCAAGATTACTTGGCCACATTCCACGACGAAACAGTCGAAGTGCAGCTGGCCCTGCTCACGGCTACCGTCAAACTTTTCATCCAACGTCCCACCAAGGGCCAGAAGCTTGTACCACAGGTCCTGAAATGGTGCACCGAAGAAACAGATGACCCTGACCTTCGTGACCGTGGTTACATGTACTGGCGCTTGCTGTCGACAGACCCAGCAACCGCGAAGCAGGTTGTCATGGGACAAAAGCCGCCAATCACCGCCGAGAGCGAAAAGCTAGACCCGCGCACTCTTGAGGAACTGTGTCTAAATGTCGGCACTCTAGCCACCGTCTACCTCAAGCCCATCCACCAAGTCTTCCGCGCTGCCCGCCCTCGGCGCCTCCTGCCCAGCCCGGCCTTGCAACGTGCCCCCATCGACGACGGTACAGGCAATATGCTTGAATACAACCCTCCCTCCGCAAGCATGGCCTCCGCCTCCACCAGTAATAGCGGTTTAGCCACAATCATTACCACAGGCGATCCAGTCACACCAAGGTATACTGGGCCTTCACCTTCTCTTCCCGTCGGCCCGGGCCCCAACTCCGCAAACACAGGCCCCAGCAACATGAACGAGGCAGCAGATGCAGCAGACGCTTACTTCAGTGGTATCGGCTCCCAGCAAATGGCTTCCCTGGACCTTGATGGTACCGGTGGTGGAGGTGCGCCTCAGACACAGTACGTTGTCACCCAAAATCAGCAGCAGGTGTATCAACCACAGCTGGCTGGTGGCGCTGCCACAGGCGAGCTATTATTGTTATAATTCAATTTGGAGAGGGGGATACTTGTACATGTAAATAGAAAGCGTTTCTCGTGCGGCCTGCGGGTAGTAATTACCAAATATTTTCATGCTTTGAATTTGAAGCTTCTAGGGTTTCTTTTATCCATGTCTAATATTAAAAATCCCTACCCCGGAGCAACTCCAACTTTTGTTTGAACACAGCGCCCATGAAAGATTTGAAATATGTAGAGTATTTCTCGTTGATCTAATGCTTTCATCAAGTAACTGATTTTCTTCTACCTGACACAAATACTCTCCATGCTGTGTTAACCATCTGCCTTCAAAGAAGCAGCGACAGCATACCAGGAGACACATGAAACAGCGGACGCCCACCAAAGAAATCGCGATAATCCAACTTGAACTTGATTTTGAACGGACCAGGAAGCCTTGAGCTTCCATGATCCATGGACGGTGAACACTCGAAAAATAAAAAAAGGAAAACAAGAACCGGAAACAAGAAACGTGAGGGGGAAAGGGGGAGAGCAATGTGTATAATATGGAAAATAAAAAACAAAGTAGGCAGAGAAAAAGAAAGAAAATTCATCTCAAGTCATGTCCGTTCCTCTTCTTATAAGCAGAAGACTCCCACCACTCTTCGCTTTTTTTTTCTTTTCAACTCTCGGCACACTTATGAGACACAGGCTCGCTTAGTAGACGCGAGCGAGGTTACGAAGGTACCAGTCGACCAGACGGCGGCCGGCCTTGGTCTCGCTGACGTGGATCAGGTCGTCCTCAAGAGCGTAGTCGAGATCGTTGGCGATGGCAGGCTCGCCATCCAGGAGGCCACCATCGACCCAGCGGATCTGGCGGCTGCGCTGCTTGTTAACGAGCAACCACGAGCGGAGTTGCTCGGGAGACACCTCGAGGAAACCTGCAAGTTTCTTGAGGTCCATGGTGGTGTAGAGCTTGAGGTAGGAGCGGATGGTTGGGTTGAACAGGGTGTTCTTGACCTCATCCATGAAGATGGCAGTGTGGTGGTCGACGGGGTCGACGTTGGAGGCTGGGTTGTCGAAGTCGGGAGGAGTGGGGTTGATGAACTTAGGGCAAGAAGAGCGGAAGAGCTCCTCGAAGACGGGCAGGGCCTCGGGGCCACCCTTCTGCATGCGGTAGAACTGCTCGCCGTACTTCTCGCGAACGGCGGAGTGGATGGTGTCATCCAGACGGGTGGGGTGGAGAGCGACACAGATGGCGATCAGGGCGTACATCTGGTCGTTCTTCTTGGCGATGGCCTCGTAGTTGTTGCCACCCTTCTGGAAGTTCTTTGTCCGGGACACATACACGAGGATGTGGCTGAACATGCGGATGGCGTCACCGTAGCGGCGCATCATCATGTAGGAGAAGCCCACGTAGTAGTAGGTGGTGAAGTGGGCGGCCATCACACGGGCGAACATGGCCTTCTTGTTCATCTCGACATCGTCGAGGATCTTCAGGGCAAGACTGAAGTCACCGAGCAGGCAGTGCACGCGCAACAGTCCGATGATCGAGAAGTAGCCGAGCATCTTGTACAAGGGGCGCGAGCCGTACTCGCCGGCAACGGCCATAGGGTCCTCTCCCCGCTTGGTGGCGTTCAATTGCTCACTGATCTGAGAGCGCTGGATGAGGGAGTAAAGCACGTTCAGCACTGAGTAGCAGCCCCATGTGTTCGGGTTCTCGCGGAGCAGCTGGCTCTCCTCCTCGTTGGATCCAGTGCGAGCAACGCGGTTGCGGTAACGGCAAAAGGATTCGAATTGGTAGATGAACTCGTCAATAACTTCCCAAGCCCAGTAGTACTGATTGTAGAGAAAAGTATTGTTAGTTTTCTGCATCGTTTTTTGAGGGGTGAATCGACCTGTTGATTTCACGAATGCCAAGCTTTTTTTCCTTTTCATTCATGGCGTTCAACAATCGGTCGGCGAAATGGGACACCTACATTGGGAACCTCCAAGTCCACGGGGCCATCGGAGTTCAGGATGTAGTGGAAGAGACTGCAGTAGTTGTCGTAGCTAGCGAATTTGGTTTCAAGAGTAGCCTGGTACTCCAGCGGGGTGGCGGCGGCGGCCAGCTGGGCCTGAAGGTCTTGGGCCTGCGATGCACCGTGCGATAGGGTCTGGTCCAGCTCGCTCATTCCATCGTCGTAGTTGACCTGCTCGCGGTAGTCGTTAACCATGGTCTCCTCCTCATTATCGGACTCATCGTTCAAGTTGGGGCGCGCATTGGCGCGGTCTTCGTAGGACATGTTGAGTGGGAGGGGAGAAAGAAAAGAATTAAAAATGTAGCAAGATGCCGGGATGAAACGGCAGTGAGGGAGCGGAAGGGGCGAGGTGGGGAGGGGGTGGGATAGCGTCGGCGTGTGCGATTTGCCAAAGAAGTCGAATTTTGAGGGTTTTCGCTTGGGTGTTTGTGCTTATCTTATCTGCGCATAATAATCATGAATGACTCAGCTGTGCGGATTTTGTGCACGGTCCACTCAATGATGCAAGTACAACCAGAGTTGTCGTTTGGTTGGCGATTCTTGTACTGTCTACGGAGTACTCCGTACTTCCATTTCTAATATAATTTTGCCATGCTACATATGGCTTCGAAACACTTAGATGCATACATATGTAAAAAAGAAAATTAATAAATTAAATGAAGGAGTGAACATTTTTTAGTGCAACATGCTAATGCAAGAGGCTCTATACATCTTAAATGGACTTGAGCTTGTTTACTTCTCTCTGGCTATGTAGATATAAAAAGTGACGGTATCATGTATGTACACGCTCTTAATTTCGAACGCGTGCTTAAATACTGCCCCGGCGCACTAGGTGTGTAATTACTAAAAATATTTACATGTATCTCCCTATTCCAGGTATGAAAGCCTAACGAGCCTAACATACAGACGTACAGGGCCCAATGGTGGCACAGCAGACAGACAGTTGGTTTGAGCGCATTACCAGGTCTGTTATAGAGGAATGCTGGGAAGTTCACGAGAGAGAAACAATATTTCCCCAGTATATAGTTCAATTAGCTAGCTGGGTGTGAAATACGGAGTATGTACGGAGTAGGCGTGGAATATGTAGGGAAAAAACTGCCGGTGGATCGGAGACCAGCAACTGGTCCCCTTCGATCGATCAGCTAGCACTCTTCTGCGTGCAGACGACAACCCCTGCCCTTCCCCTCAGTCAACTTTGCCCCTTATTTCCCCCTCAAACTACTCCGTACAGACGATGACACTGCATATCCTCGTGTCTGACCCAAGTGCCAGGAAGGCAGAGCTTGTACTGGCCATTCCCAAAGAGTTGGGTAGGGCAGGCCAGTATCAGTCTTCACTCTGCCGTGACGACTTTTATGGTACTGCAGCTTTTCCCCAACACCTTCATCCCAGTCCTATTCGTCGTAACGCTCCACGCCGCATTTCCACCTCTGTTTCACGTAAGTCTGGAACAGGATGAACTCTTCCAGCATAGTTCATCTGGTAGCGGCATTGATGCATTCATACAGTCACAAAAACAGGCGCCATGCTGAGTCTCAGGGCTCAAGACTCTTCCACTGTTCAGGGTCATCAAAGATTGCGATAGCCTCAGGTGGCAATTGGATATTTAAGTGCAGCGCGTTCTTCCTGATCTCATGAATCGCGTCGGCTGTTTGCTTAAACCTGTGACTAAGAGCTGTTCCAAACCGACAGAGCTCAGCAAATGCCTGTCTTGATTCCTCACTTTCTTCCAATTGATGTACTAAGATCCGAAGACCTGTTTGGACAGCATCGACTATCTGGCTGGGTATATGCTTGAGGCCATACGATTGACGATGAATGCGAAGGCATTGCGCCATTTCCTCGGCTGCCTTAACCTGATAGAACTGGGCCTGTCGAACGACTTGTGGCTGATGAGGGTCATTCAAAATTTCAAACAGGTATATGATGGCCTGAAGACATTTAATTCTTCACGTGGTATCAGCACAAAGACAATCACTGGGGTGCACGCAACAGAAAGGCAGTCATGCTTACCGCAAGAGAAGGACTTGTGGGACCGGATTGTGTTGTATCTCGGGCACACTCGGCCAGTGTTGCAGCCAAGCATTCAAGCGATCGAATGGGTCTTGGGCTTTTCTCCACATCTCATCAAAGCTGGCACCCTGACCTTTTTCAGAAACGAGCTTCTGAACATCAACCAAGATTCCGGTGATCTCAGCCAGTCCCTCCCTAACTTCAGGGAGACGGGCTGGCTTTTTATCATATGTGATTTTGTTTGATCGAGGGTACGGGGTCCAGTCAAAGTCTTCGTTGCCACACAGCTTCACATCAGACATGGGATTTGGTAAGGGGGCAATCTTCTGCAGCTCAATCGACATTTGTCTACTCCAATTGGTTAGACATTGCTTCTTCATGTGAGGATTGGCGGTGCTTACGAGCTCATATTGAAGACACCCCAGGCAGTGATCGTGCGAACCCGTTCCATCTCTGGCAGTATCTTGTTCTTCAACACTGCTGGGCTATCAAAAAGTCCTATATCTCTTGCTAGCTGAACTGCTTGGCTAAGCATCATCCAGCTTTTCCTGACTCGTCCCTGGCATTTAAATCTGCAAGAAATTAACCTTATGAACAAACCTATTTGGCTATAAAACAGTGGGCAACATACACACAACACATCAAGAGGAGAGCCTGGATGTTAGGCAGGTCGTGGTCATCATCTTCAACTTCCCACAATCTTTGTGCCTCATGGAAAAAGTTCTGGCCCCGCGAGAACACGTTCTCGGGGGTGGAAAGAACATCAGGGCTATCAGAATAGGCCTGTCGGGGTTAGCTAATGGGTTCGCAGGGTCGGGGGCACTTGAGGGATTCATACGCTAGCCATTGACAATAGGCTATTGACGAGAAGTGGCGTGCAGAATTCCGATCTTCGATCACCACGTCTCATATGTTCGAGGAAGATGCGTTGATCAAGGAATTGTGAGCATGGGTGGTCCCAGGTAAAGTAAAGCGAGACTAGATGAGAGACCAGATAGTCATCATCTGTGACAGTTGTCCACGGCTTTGCCGGCACCTTGAAGAGAGGTATGTCGCAAAGGCTCTCCAGCGTGACTCGGGCATAGGGGCTGACTGTTGGCCATTGTGGAGGTTTCATATTTGGAATCTCTTCTGGCGAGCTTGCTGCATTGCTGCTGGGGTCCGACGGTCGTCTCAGGCCGTTCCTCGGGGTTTCTACGGGATGCTCTGAATACTCTAAAATTGCCAATTTGCTGGCATTCGACAGCTCTTGGGGGTCTCCGAACGTCGTGGTGGGGCCTCCAACAACATGGGCGATATCGTGGAACGAAGCCTTATTCCGTATCAAGTCCATCACTTCATCAAGCTGAAGCTGATCAGCCGACGCAAGGGTGCTTAGCAAAGACTCCAGTAGATCTTTGTGGTTTGTGAGTTCCTGGATCGTCCGCTTGACAGCAACCTTTCGTCTGAGGTCTCGAGTTGGATCAAAGTGGCATTCGGTATTGGTAGACCGACAAGCCTTACATGGGGCATCCGGTCCAGAACACTATATTGAGCAGAACACAAAAATTAGCCGGAAGCTTCATTTTGAATTTCTGGTCCCCAAATTCTGGGACAAGTCAAATAGACAGAAAAGGGGGAATTGGAATTAACCGATGCACCGACTGACCTTCCTCTTTGCTGCTTTGCATGCCAGGCAAGCTGTGGAATTCTTCTTCGGCCTACTGACAGCAGTCGAGGTCTGTGGAGCGAACATGCGCGGCGGTCCCGGAGCCAACGCAGGAAATTGTTTCGTGTTCTCGTGATGGCCCATCTTCATTTTGAAAAGATCAGTCCTGCGGAGTATGAATTCCGAAAGGTTGTGTCTCGAGATTGCTGACCGAAATATACTGCGGTTGAAGCTTCGGCAGGCAATGCGAATCTGCTGAAGCCACGCTAACTGATTTTGCGAAAAGTGCAGGCAGACGATCTATACAGCACTGAACCACGGTCCTAACGCTTCCTCTTATGGGCCATTGAAATCGACGTCTCCAACGTCTCACCAGCTCGATGTCAGAAAGGGGGCAAGTGTCATGTCGTAATGATACGGGCGTCACGGTGTGCGTTATTTACGCATGAAGGTGGGACACAACGAAAAGAAACTATTCTGGAATCGGTTGAAGTGATCAAAGTCCACCTGCAGGTGACAAGACGCCAAAAGCGAGGGGGGTCGCGTTAGCAAACAGAAGGGGAGGTTCGACGCCCGTCACACAACCGGGGTAACCCGGTAGCCCAAGCTCGAATTCAGCAGTGATTGGAGAGCTAACAAATCCAGCAGCTTGTCAATATAAGCCGACGGTATGCAGCAGATGGTGAAGGGGCCATTGAGTCGAGACTAGCCTGAGATTTTGTGAGATTTGGGGAGATCGAGAACAACCGAATATGGAAATCCTCTAGCTTGAACCAGAGCACGAGATACTAAATATCTCTCCCCACCCTTCAGAAAAAAAATAAAGGACGCATGGTAAAAAAGAAAGGAAGAAAATTAAAAACATGAAAATGAAAAATGAAAAATGAAAAAAAAACCACCTCCACCCTAAAGGGATGTATCAGTACGGAGTACGGAGTACTAAAAGAGACTTTAACCGGAAATAAGTACGCTAATCTCTAAGATTTACAACATATACATCTTTTGATCCCTCGGAGATCTATGCTGTTATCCAGACAATGTCGCCACTTCAAATCCTGATGCCGGTTTTAGGGGTCTGATGGATTATGCAATGATTGTGGCCTTGTATAGGAAACTCATATGTCAATCACATATCTGGGCTTCCACAACCTCCACTATTTCTCCATGAATCAATGATAGCAGATTCTCCTATGTCAATACTGTACTTTGTACTCTAGTAAGAATTTGTGGGGAATATCACTTTACTAACCATAACCTGTAGCCTTCGCTCTAAGATAGAATTAGGATGTCAACCTGGACGGGGCAATAATTCAAAGAGTAGATTTCACACGAGGCCGTCAAAAATTCCAACACATTGGTTGATGGATTGATGGGACCACGAGATGTGCTACTACCAAGGTTGTGATACGGGGACATTTGAAGTGGCCTTCACGATATTCCACCCATAGCTGTACGATCCGGCTATAAATATTGGAACTTTGTCCCGTCCCAAAGTCTTTTCCGCTGTGGATCGGATCGGGATTGCAGGGGAATGAAAGGCATATCTTACTTTGTAAACCTCCACCTCATAACTGGATCGACCGATCCCAATGTTAGACCTAAATTATAACTTGCCACTCCGTACTTTATTTATACTTGTTGAATCCTTGGATTTTCCAATCCTTATGATTCGTGAGGCTCTTGCTCACGTTTTAGACAACCTCCTCCCGCCCCTTGGTCACCTTTCAGTTGGTACATCCACATAACTTCTTCCAGCGTTTTTTATTGGCTGTTAGAACAACAGCCAATCGGAACCACCAGAGAAAATACATTCTATTTCTTGGCATCCCATCAGCTACTTTGAATATCAAGCAACTGGCCTGGTTTTCATTCTCTCTGGCGACACTACACTGGGGGTGCTGTCAGTCGTGTAGTTGCATATGGGCACTTGAGCAACATTTGAAGGCTTGAATATATATGCTTTACTACATATATATATATATATATATTGTACAAAGTACTCCGTGCAGCTAAATCGTCTCTTGTATATTGTGTATGCCCCACTCCTAATATGCCATGGAATATTTTTCCCATTACATAGTACGGAGTACGGAGTAACTACTTCGAGGATATACATATATTATTCATCTGGCACTATTCACCAGTGGACGTAGTAAATTTCCGAGCCATTCCAATTAGTCTGGTCATATAGTGTGGGATCCACAGAGAAAACTGGTTTTTTTCCTCCCAGAAAAAAGGCGAAAAGAAAGAGAAACAAAAATCGAAAACAAAGTTTAGGATTCTTGGCCTAAATGAACTACACACGTTAGTGTCGCGCACTGCCGCTTACGCGCCCGTTATACTGAAATTCAAGGATATACACAATGCCGGATCGCAGGCTATATTCATCTACATCCTATCGTTTAGGGTGGTTAGAAAGTATAACACGACAGATATGTGGTATGTACTCCATACAGAGTACTCCGTACGGAGATGGAGTACTTGGCCCCCGCCCCGCATGACAGGTTCAAGCCATGTACAAAGCAAATGCCGGGATTAGGAGCCAGTGAGATCGACTATGCGGCTGAGATCCCCTCCTTTTTTTTTCCCGTGTCTTAGGTATCGCCTTCCCCCAATCCTTTCCCAGAAATTCCTGCAATCAAAGTACAGTCCATGAAGTTTTACAATGTACTGAGTAGATTTTGCCTGCAATGTAACGCGAGTTGCGGATTTTTATCACCTGCATGTGTGATGGAAGCCCCCTCGCTTTTCTAGGAGACAAGACTCCTGCCAAAAGTAGACCTAGCGCGAAACAGAACAATAAAACGCGGTTACCCTATAACATTGCATATGCTCGGTAGTTTTTTTTAGATTTTAATCCATTTGATATTTGCATGTGGTCGTAGATATTCGGGACTTTTGGATCCCCTACTTTGCACATGTACAATGTAACTATGTAAAAAGGGTTGATGTCATTTACTTCTTATCGCCCCCGGATAAAATAGCCAGGTCGCTTTGGTTGGTTGGATGTGCTTACCGTCGCCTATCTTGCCCTATATTCTAGTTATATTGTACTTTGAGGTCTGCCGATCTGATATTTACATGGATGTTATAATATGTATATCCACTCTGTATATGGACGGAGTACTCCGTAAGTAGATGTATCTAGATGGTCCCTTTTTAGCCTTTTATAATTTAGAGTTCCCTGTTTTTCACTTTCAGAGAGCCACGGCCCGTTAGTGCATTGCAGGTCCGTGTAGCGGGGTACTTTGTATATATCCCCTTTTAAAACTTCCCCGATTTTAATCCCAAGCTTTCTCGATGTATTTGCTTTTTATATTGCTCGAGCCTCTTAAGTGCATTATTCTGACACCTGCCATTCTACTTACATACGCAAGCCATGTTTGCTCTTTTATTTTCTTTTTCTTTTTGAGTCATTTATCATATTTGGGGTAAGAGACGCCAATTCCAGTAAGTATTATGAGATTATGGGCCAAAAAATCAACGACTGATCATATAATTGTGTCAAGCCCACCAACGCCACTACCCGGTGTTGTTGGTAGGCGTGGCAACTCTACGGAGTATACGAAGAGTACATGAGCATAACATAGTCAAAGCGTAAAAATTTTAACCCTTAAACTACTCTATAGATACGGAGAGGATATAGGAGGACAGATATAGTGTAAGTGAATTCATAATTATTAGTATCAGCCTTAGTAAGAATTATGAAGTGTGCTCCAAGTAAGAGAAGGGCTAGATCTATCTTTGACGTACAATATTTACATGTTGCATTTTCTATGGTGCTTTCTACACTGCTATATCATATATTTAGAGTTAATCTTAGTAGATCTATTGAACCAAACTTCAAAGTTGTATTAGATCTTTATTTTTAGGGGATTGTTAATGGGACCCCCCCCTTGCTAATGGGACCCCCCCCCTTGCTAATGGGACCCCCCCCCTGCCTGAAATTTCAGTACCGCCTTCCCAATTGGGTACCGCTTTGGCCTCGCCGCCTAGATCTGCCTACCGCTTTCTACACCGCCTTCCGATTTTATACACCGCCTTCCTAGCAAACTCCTATACAATAGTAGTAGACAGCAGGTACCTACAATTTGTATGTAAACCCTATACAAAATTAAGTCACTTTTGTCATATAGACTAGATCAAACAAATTGATACTCCAATTCTGGTTTACACCCATTAACCTACCATCTTTCTACCCAATTTTTTCATCAATTTCTTTGTCAATTCTATCGATTTTATCACCAAAACAGACAATATGGCCTCCCTAGGCCTTGAATATCTGGAATCGGATCCAGATTCCGACCAAGAGATCGTTCCCGAGTCCCCCCCTGCTATGCTAAGTACCGAGACGCCAAGCACCGAGACGCCAAGCACCGAGACCTTTATATTTCCACTTCCTCCAATCGACTGTACGTACAACACAGCTGAAGAGGGCAAGGATGCTATCAATGATTTTGCGCGCCCCCACGGCTATGCAGTCACATCACGCCGGTCAAAGAAGACAAAGAAAGGGGTCAAAAAGACAGTACGACTTATCTGTGACCATGGCCGGAAGCTCGACGCTTACGGGGATCGGTCTCCTGCAAAAAAACGACCAAATACTACAACAATCGCGTGTGAATGCCCCTTCTCTATAGCTCTTCGCCTAGATCTCGAAATAAATCTTTGGCGTCTTACAATTGAGAACCTATCCCACAATTATCAGCTATCGCCGGCATCGACCTATCCTACCCAGCGCGCCCTCGAACTTAAATATAAGAAGGTTCAGGTCGAGACTAGGCTTCAGCTAGGCCGTCCAACCCGTCAAATGCTTATTGAGATACGTGAAGCTGATCCTGAGAGTGCTCTTATCTCGCGTGATATCTACAATACCCGGTTCAAGCTGAATGAAGTGTTTCTCGCGGGGCGTACACCGATTCAGGCGTTACTTACAGAACTCCCGAAGGATAGATTATGGATTTTCAAGTACGAGCTTGATGATCAGTCTTATATTACTGCTTTGTTCTGTATACACAAGACAAGTGTCGCAATGCTGAAGCAAAACCCTTGGTTAATCTCTATAGACTGTACTTACAAGACCAACCGTTACGGTCTCCCCTTACTGGATATCGTCGGCTTTGCAGCTACTGGGTAAACTTACTATCTTGGCTTTGTATTTATACGTGATAAACAAGAGGATATATACGAAGTGATACTTGTATGTCTTGCCGAAGTATACAGTTCACTTGGTCTTCCTTACCCTCGTACTATTCTTACAGATAAGGAGAAAGCACTTTACAACGCAATTGAGACCGTTTTCCCCAATACAAAGTATATGATCTGTATCTGGCACATCAATATAAATATTATAAAGGTTGCTCGCCCCCTTCTTAGTGATCAGGTTATATTGGCCCGGCTTGGTCTCTCCGAAGTTGAACCTAGCTCTACTCCCTCTCAACCCCAGCGCCGTATACCTACTCAGGCTAAGGAAGATCGTGAGAAAGTTGAGGCTGGATAGAAGAAGATGCTTAAACGCTGGAATCGAGTAGTATACGCCACTACTGTTCCGGAGTTTCAGTGTCAATAGCAGGCATTTAAGGACCGCTACGCTGACTCGCTATTTACGCTATTACTCGATTATATCCAGGAGGAGTGGCTAGATAACTGTCCTGAACGTTTCCTTCATATCCACACTGCAAAGTATCTCTATCTCAATAAGATCGCTACCTCTCGTACAGAGAGTGCACATTGGCTAGTCAAGCAGGGTCTACTAGTCTTAAATAACGATTTACTCGTTGTCCTCCGCAGTTTTGACTATAGTGTCAATGGGCAATTCTCAAAGATCAAGTGTAAGCTTGATAACCAGAAGATACGTACTCCGAAACAGCGTGAAAGACTTTACCAGCTACTTTACGGCTAAATCTCAGTACGAGCGATCCAATTCACTAAGGATATATATTCTCGATTCCTACCCGAGGCAGATAATAAGCCATAGATTCCTCCAGTGTGCAATTGCAATTCCAAAGAAACAAGTGGTTTTCTATGTATCTATATCCTCAAGGTATACGATGATGAAGAGCGACACTTAGAACCGGATCTTTTCTATCAACAATGGCACTTATATAGTGTCGGCGCTGCCCCCCCCAATCAATCCCCTCCTTCTTGTACAGGATCCTCTCTAAGTTCGACGACGAGGACGTCCCCGAGGAGCAAGAAACTTTATCAGCCAGTCAGCTACCCAGCAAACCGCCACCCAGCCAAGCAGTACCCAGCCAAGCAGTACCCAGCGATCTTCACCTAATCCTCTTACTCAGGATCGATCTACCCGGCGAGAACCATCAGCATTCGAGCACGTACTATCACAGGAACGAGGACGAGGACGAGGACGACCGCGGGGACAACCGCGGGGACGAGGACGCGGTCGAGGACAGGGAGAAACTAGCAGTGGTGAAGCTGGCAGTGGTAGTCGAGGACGGGGTCGTAGAGGAAGACGCGCACGGGGAGGTACCTGATGACTAGCATAATCAATTTGTAAAGTAGTTCAATGCAGAAATGAATGAATTGTACAATTTTTTCTGATTAAAATGGTGCATTTTTTACTATGTAAATCAGAATTACTATGGTGGTGGCAGAATATATGGCAGTATAAAATGAAGCGGCAGAAAATACGGCAGAATTACTGGTCGCACCCAATTGGGAAGGCGGTACTGAAAAATCAGGCATTTTCAGGCAGGGGGGGGTCCCATTAGCAAGGGGGGGGTCCCATTAACAATCCCCTATTTTTATATTTTCGTTTCCCTTACGCTAGTCTGAGAGTCGATAAAATCGAGGCTATGGCTATGTTGTGTTTATGTACCTTTTGTATGGAGTTAATGTACAAAAGATACCTAATCCTTACAGTTTGCTATCCGGGTAGTTGGTAGCCTGCTTGGCACGATATCGTTCCTCTCGGTCTTAGGCCTTTAGTTCCTGAGGCAAACCCCTCGATTTTGACCTGGTCGGTTCTGTATTTAATCAGCGGATACCAGGGATGCTTATGGCGTATGCACATGTTAGCATCCAGTTTGCGTAATTGGCTTGAGATACGTCACATATTAAAGCAGTTGTCACCGTGATGTCACTGTCAGGTGATATCACCTGACGAGTGCCCCCCTCTTAGCGGTGCAGGATAGTAGCTGAATACATCATCTTTACCTTCCCCTTTGCTTTCAGTGCTTACAGCAGTGCCATCCTTGAAATTGGTATATTGTAGATCACTCCGTTGTGATCTTCAAATGCCATACCTAAACCTCGTGGTCGGTGATACCCAGCGACCAATCACTACGGTCTCGCTCCTATCAAGGTTCCTGACAGATGCACTATTCTTTTTTTTGTTGGATATTAATCGTCCGAGCGCCCAACACCACTTACCCAACGATGTTGGAAACTACTAAGTGTCTTTTGTATGGCATTCCCATACAAAATGTACAAAATACGTAATGTCCATTTTTCTCAACCCCCTTGTTGTATATAGATAGCTGTGTAGGAAAGTTATAATTAATTCGATACATGTTATGTAAATGGAGTTAAGAAATGACAAGTTACTGAACGTGATAAAGTAGCTGAATTCTACCTGCAATCTATACGCAGGGTGTTTTCTAAGGTGCCTTTTACACTTCTACATTAAATATTTAAAATCAGTCTTATTGTAATAATCTAACTACACATACATTATATATTAGTATTCCTATTTCTCCTTCGGTTGATTGGAGGGTTGAGAACATGGTTATGGATATTGTCCCTTGCGTGCCTGTTATATGGGTAAGTCTTACAAAAGATACCTAATTTCATAGTTATCGTTAACCACATACTCTGTAGAGAAGCCATGCACGAGTATGTTGTAGACGCCTTGAATAATGAACACAATATCACCACCATTACTCACGGGTTTTTTTATCTCCCAAATTTATAGGCTGCTTGTCTTCTTGGTGTAAACTCTCATTCATGTAGCCATGGTTCATGTCATGTTCCTCGTCTTTGCCCTCTGTGAAAAAAAAGGTCAGTCAGCCCCCAAGGCATGATTTAGTCGATGTCCCATGGGTCTATTGGCTGTGAGGTTATAAAGGTCAGTAGGCATTTGCACCCCTCGGTTAAGCACAACAAATGAGGTGTCTATAGGATAGAGCGATGGATAGACCTCGAGATAGATGTATAGTCAGTAGTTCTTGCTTCATGCACTACCCATTTCATAATCCTACCTCCTCTAGTTTTATAATAGTATTCTCAACAGAGTGAAGTATGGAACTTCTCTCTTCTTAGTTCTTTGTTATCGATACTAGGGCTGTGCTGTCTTTTGAAACCTCCGGTGAACTAAAAAAAAGCCTGCACGTGCAGGTATCGAAGACTTTTCTAGCAACTTCAACACTGTCGTCAGTATATTCAAGTTATACAATACACAAAGAAGAAATATATCGACGATTTGCATTTGATCTTGTTTGGATCACTTGTGACCCAGTTGTATTCTTAGTTAATGCTAATATTGCTTTGTGAGTTCTTCAACAAGGCACAATGGTAATTTTTTAAATCTCAAGTCAAATCACACGTTAAACAAAGCCTTCTACATCAAAACACCCGAAATAATAACTAGGTACTCCTGAGGTCAGAACACCTTTCTATCCACCGCGCCGAGAACCTGAATGCTATAAATTGCACTCTAATACTACCACTTGAGAATATCCTGAAGAGTCAGTCCACATTCCAGAGATTGTAAACCTACAGAGACCTGGTTTGGTTCTATATATATCGCTTGAGCCTCGGCGACCAGTGTTCCGTGCCAAAAATTTCCACCGTCTGGATATGATAGTCTGCCATGCCTTACGATCTTCCACTTTAATGACCTTCACCTTCATACCAGGATAGGAATGCTTCAATGCTAGATGTCGATAGTCGAAGATCATAGTTGCCATTACCCCGATTTGCTTAGGAAATTGAGGGAGCAATATGACCCAAAAGTCTTGTCTAGCAATGTTGCTAGCAAAACACCGTGGATGACACCTTGGTGATTGTAGATGTCATCTGTTCAGTACATGATAATAACCAATATTTTGCTGTTAGTTTCATTGAATACCAACGGTGGCACGGATATTTTCTCCGCCCAGCGAAAATTCAGGGCATGTCATCAGCCCTTTAGGGTCGGAGCTTTTCGGGGACTTTAGAATAAGGCCGGAACTCTTTGAATTCACCACTTGCCCATAAAGAGAAAGGGGACTAATAATTTTTTGCTCCTTAGAGAGCTTAGAGAATTTGACCAGCTGCAGCTTGGTGGGCACAATGGCTATAGTGAATATGTAGAATATTTTGTCTCAATTTTGAACTAGAAAGCTAGAGCATGCTATGAGATATACACGCTACTCACCATTGAGCTGCATGGCCGATTGTTTGTGAACCCACTTAGATAGCATTCCCTCTATTTATTGTGGCAATTGACCGAGTTTCAAGATAGGTGATTGTTTTCACGTTCGTCCTGCGATGTAGTTGGAAATATCATTCAGCTACCATTCAGCTACCATTCAGCTATCATGATTGGTGTAGATTGGTGTATAAAGATATCATCACCGTGAGGGTGTTCGGTGATGCCTTAGTTTACTTTGATTCACCTAGGCAACGGTGTGCAGATAACTAATAGTATGTTCCGTAGAAGGTAATATGCTCCGTATATACCTAGTCATCACACAAATCAAAGCTTGACACTGTGACGGATACAAGAATTGGGCAGACCGAAGAGCTAAGACTTCAACACTGTAGTTACACGAACCAGCAAGATCAAACTAATGAGTATGAAGGTCTCTTTGAAACATTGGAAAATTGAATTATATCAATATCGACGCGGTTAGCCTCGGAGATTCTAAAAGTGGGCCTGAAGATAGTCAATATTTGACTCGTCATAGTATGCTTATAGTACTTTGTAGAGTGTACGGCGAGTTCAACTCGGATTTGGATTAGAATTTCAGAGAAACCAATGCATTTTCAATAGATCTATGCTGTATCAGGGTGTGCAACATGAAATATTTTCTGTGGCAAATAGAGAGAGGCGATTTCCCCGGGGACTGTTCGGCGTTGAAAACTTTTTTTTTTGGGTCGAATATGGTTAAGAGGGGCGTTCCCGGGGCAAACCGCTTGTTATAAAGAACAATTAAGAACATTTGGAATTTTCTGTGAAATACATATTTCAAAAAAAAGGTACATATAGGTTCATTCTCGCATTCTTCGTTTTCCCCTGTAAGCTTATTTGTTGACCGTCTTGTGACTCATAGACTCGCCCCCCTTATATTTAAGGAAAGAAGAACCTTGATAATACAACCATTTCATCATGGGTTCTGTCGCTCCTAATGTTGCTGAGCTGGATGGCTCTAAGTTCAATATCACTCGCTCAACCAACCTGCGCGATGTGCCCTTGCCCGGCTCCCCAGAGGAATTGAGCCACTCTCACTGCACTGACCACATGGTCACCGTGAAATGGACCGCAGAAAAGGGCTGGGAAACCCCCGAGGTCAAGCCCTACCAAAATCTCAGCATTCCCCCCACAGCCTCCGTCCTGCACTATGCCACTGAATGTTTCGAGGGAATGAAGGTGTACCGCGGATATGACGGCAAGCTGCGCCTGTTCCGCCCTGATTGCAACGGCGAGCGTCTGAACTCCAGCTCGCAGCGGTCCTCGCTGCCCGGATTCAAGTACGATGAGGTTAAGAAGCTTGTCGCCAAGTTGCTGCAGATTGATGGCCCTCGTAAGTTTCAATATCATTACATCCCAGTATATATCGGAGCTATTCCCTAATAATTATATACAGGCTGGCTCCCTAACCCCGGTTCTTTCCTCTACATCCGTCCTACCGTTATCGGCAATGGTCCTCATCTGGGCGTTCAAGTGCCCAAGGAAGCCCTCCTTTTCATTATTGCTGTCCCTTGGCCCGACTTCACCAAAATGAAGAAGGACCCCAATGCCGAGCCCCGCAAGGGCCTTAAGCTCTATGCCTCTAACCCAGATTCTATCCGTGCCTGGCCCGGCGGCTTCGGCTATGCCAAGCTCGGTGCGAACTACGGCCCTTCCCTGCAGTCCCACGGTAAGGCCCAGGCTCTGGGATTCGACCAGATCCTCTGGCTGTTCGGTGAGGACCGCCAGGTTACCGAGGCTGGCGCCAGTAACTTTTTCATTGTCTGGCACAACACCGAAGGCAAGCTGGAGCTTGTTACTGCTCCTCTTGACAACCAGCTCATTCTGCCCGGTGTTACCCGTCGCAGTGTTCTGGAGCTCGTGCGCGAGCGTCTGTCGCAGAACTTTGTTGGCAAGCTTGCGCCGCTCGAGGCTGTGGAGCGCACTTTGACCATTGATGAAATTGCGAAGGCTTCCAAGGAGGGCCGCATTGTTGAGTCCTTTGTTTCTGGCACTGCTGTAAGTTGGAGAATTTTTCTATTTCTTTATCGGGAGTTGATATGCTAACATCACATCTCTCAGTACTTCATTACCCCTGTTGCCATGATCCGCAACGAGGACACTGATATCAGCACCCTGGGTGTGAACGGCGAGCCTGCTGGATATGCTGCGCAGATCAAGTCGTGGCTTGAGGCCATCATGTTCGGCAAGGTCGAACATGAATGGGCTTACACCATCGAGAATGAGGAACAATAGATGGAGAAAACTCATAGATGATTTTAGATTTAGACCCGCAAGTTTGGTTGATGTCTCTTGGGCGGGCTTATGAAGCTTAGCATCATGATCGGTATCTTTGATGCTAGAGTTGGACTGTACATAGATTTTAAACCGCATTTTCATAGAATATCGGCCTGTTTCATTCAAAAAATTCAATTTTTGTCATTTGGATATGAATGGATTTGGAAAATGTAGCAAGACGCCAGTAAATGCACCCGAGACTGGATATCAAAAAGAAATCATCATTATTTTACAAATTTCCTGAGTGCGCAGAGGTAGAACTAAATCCGATGCCCTAATCTTGCATCTCACTCAACAATCATCGGAGCATACTCTCCAGTTTCATCGTCTTCGTCATTGCCATCCCAGTCCATTTCGACCTGCTCGCCGTCCTCCAATTGGAGCATACCGTGGCGAACGACAGTTCCGCGACGCAGTTCCCAGTCAAATTCTGCCTTCACCCATTCTTCAAGCTTGTCAAGCTCCAATTTGACTTTGGAGTCAGAATCGCCAACAAGGTCATCGACTGACTGACGCAGCTTCATAAGTAGACTGAGCAAGAATGTGCCGCCCTCGTCACCATCAATCTCAAACAGTCCACCATCAACATCATCGCATCGCTGCAGCTGCAACGAGAGTATCCGAAGAGCCTCACTCATGAAAGCCTCCCTTTCCAGGATTGCTGTCCGGGACGTAAGAATAAGCTCAAGAAGCCGCTTCCACTGCTGCAAACACGAGTAGTTCATCATAGTCAACACCATAAGGAACGTAAACTGTAGTTCTCCAAGCAACTGATTCTCACCAGAAGCCTCCCCAGCGTACCGATCGAGCAAGTCTCCAAGAGCCCAAGATCGATCTTGAGCAGCTTCAGTCCTTTCGCGCCCGACAGCGCCTTCTCTCCACGTCTGCTTCAAATTAACCGGGATGAATCCGAACTCGCGTTCCGGCTCCTCGCTTGTTTCCGGCCCTTCAGCTGGCGAGTCAACGCCTGGGATATGATCCGCGTCACGGTTGGCTGTTGAAGCAGAGGACAACACCCACCGCGGATGACTGTCGACATCAACCTCCGGACTTCCAATAACGCGACCCAGAAGGTTCGGTGAGATCCGATCGGTCAGACCAGACCAATCCCTCCGGCCACTCTCTTCAGTCTGCGCATCGTCTTCAGTTTGGATGCGAGCTTCGATTTCGGGCTGTTCAGGTTGGTCTTCCTCATTCTTTTCGCCAGGTTCTGATTCCCTCACGGGCTTAACAAGCATTGAAGGCGCAATCCGGCTGCGATACTTGAATAACCCTCCACCTTGCCACACAGAACCCAGGTTCGCCTTGTAGCGCATGCTCTCCTGGCGAGCGGAGTCGCTATCACTATCCAGCACTACTAATATCTCTGTATCCGCACTCCATTTCCAAATATAGATCTCTGACCTCGGTGCGCTTTGGGTTTGATTTTTGTTTCGACCTTGCGCGACGAGCGCTGTGTCACTGCTCCCTTTCCCTGCGATGCTGATGTCACCGATATAGAACCATGCGCCACTGCGTAGGGAGAGTGTCTCTGTTGCGCCGGTGTAAAGGAAGTGCCATCCTGGGGAAAGGTCGCGGATGCCGTGGAAGTTCGGGGTTGATGTGAAGGTTATGAGATCGATGCCGACGAGGGTTTTTGGAGGAAGATTCGGGAGGAGGATTGTTGGGGTTGGCTGATGAGTGGACATTGTGCATGGGGGAGCTTTGAAGAGGGATGAAAAGCCCGCGATCTGAGCTGTCGGATAAACGCAGCTCTATCTTTTATCAACGGGAGGCAATTTTTTCGGTGTTTAATAACTGAACCTGACTTTGATTTTCGCTAGTTACATCCTCAGAACATCACAGAATTGCACTACTTGTAACTTCTAAGCTATGATAATTCTTCAGCATTATAAGCACCAAATCCGAGGGAAAAAACTGGAAGAATCTAAGGACTCAGGCAACTATACTTTGAACAGAATAGGTGAATACTGAGGGCATAGAGATATAGAAAAGGGGGGAAAGCATGAGGTGGGTAGAAAAACAAGAGGCTTTATTAGAAGTAGAATTAACAATTCAGTGTACAGAGTACTGACAGATCGAAGGGTGATTACTTTCCTATGTAGGTGCTTAGAGCTTTCCTGCAGGGCGGCGGAAAAATCAACAATCTAGATGTGCGATAACCGTCATTTTACGATTGACCCCACCAGGAGCTTACGATAACAAGGATATATAGGTCAATTTGTTGATTTAGCACTACCTAATCCAACAGCAAAACCCAGGTGTGTAATTTTCAGCGTATGAAAAAAATTGAAGACCAGGCGATCAATGCCGTTCCTCGCGTTTATTCCATCCACAGATGCAGGAGAAGCCCGCAAATAGCCTCCAATCCAGCCATGCAATAACTTGCAAGGGGAAGGGAAAGACCAAGCCGCATACGCTCAGAGACGGCGACCACGGCGACCACCCTTGCGACGAGTAGAGTCGGAGGGGGTGGGGGTGACGTCCTCAATGCGACCGATGCGCATGCCGGAACGGGCAAGAGCACGGAGAGCAGACTGGGCACCGGGACCGGGGGTCTTGGTGCCGTTACCACCAGTGGCACGGATCTTGATGTGGAGGGCGTTGATGCCGAGCTCCTTGCAGCGGACAGCGACGTCCTGAGCAGCCAACATGGCGGCGTAGGGGGAGGACTCGTCACGATCAGCCTTGACCTTCATACCACCGGTAACACGGCAGATGGTTTCGCGACCACTGTAATCAATAATTCGTCAGCCAACATTATCCTTGGTGTTGTGTTCGTCCCAACTGTGTTCGATTCGAATTCCAATTGGCTGATTCGAACGCGAGAGAATTGTGGTTGGAGGGCGACTCACGAAAGATCGGTAACGTGAACGAAGGTATCGTTGAAGGAAGCGAAGATGCGGGCAACGCCGAAAACGAGCTTGCCTGTGTAAATAGTCAGATCGACTGTTTCTCAATTTCTTCAACTCCAATTTCGTTCAAACATACCATCACCGGCGAGGGGGCCGAGGGAGACGTTCTCCTTAGCGGCGGCGGGAGCCTTGGTCTTGGGGGCCATTGCGACTGTTGTTGGTGGTTAGTGTGGATGGAATACAGAAAGGAAGAAAAAGTCGGATCCAGATCCCACTTGGAGGTTGAAAAAGTGGGTGTGTGCCCTAGGCGAAATCAAGCCATATGATTGGTTCATAGCCTCAAGCGAGCTTGATGCCTCAGGCTGTCAACTGTCATACATTTACGAAATGTGATACTCGGATTCTAGTCGGCCCGGTGGGCGGTGAACTCATTAGCTCCGTGCAGTATTTAAGTTTTTCGTTTGCCTAACTCATTTCTTTCCAACATATTGATCTTCCCAGACTTCAGCAGCTTTCGGGTTGTTACTCCAAACAGATCAAGATAAACTTTAGTGGTTATCAGTGTCACTAGTTTCAAGGGCTACACCTTTCCCCCAGAAGTTGCAAGCGCGCTTGTCTCGATGGGTCGCACCAAAGAAGATGCCTCGATTGGCATCATTGGTATGGGCGATATGGGCAAAATGTATGCCCAACGCCTGAGCGATGCAGGATGGAGGTAATTGGCCGTTCCCCGTTCTTCGACAGCATGGGCCCAAGATGCTTTAAATGGTAAGCTTTCTATCCTGTCTTTCTTTCTTTGCCCACCCCCTCGAATGATGACATGAGTGCATTTGGCTCGAGTACGGTTTGGTTGGCGCTGTCACACCATTCTGGTTGATGGCTAACCAGCTGGCTGTCGGTGATGTTACACCCACGCTACCTTAATTTTTTTTGTCTGATCCTGTTTAATCTCACTTTATACACCTTCACTTTGCTGTGTGAAAACATGAACTAACAAGTGAAAAGATTTTCTAGATTCGCATCGGGCCTCATAATAACTAATTCTTTAGACCTGGCATAACTAACTTCGCATTTTGATATCAAGGATAAACGCATGTGATAAACCTGAGAATTTTGAATCTTTAAAACAAGAATTCGCTTCTCAAGTACGTCCCCCGGCTGGGATTATGCCACCCATAGCTCAAGAAGCTCATTGTATATATAGAATGGAGTCACCATATTTCCCAATGGACATCTTGTGTCAAGAATTAGCGATTACATCCTGTACAGTGTAGAGGCTGGAGCCATTGACAAGGTCGTGGCACAGTACGGATTATGTATGTGTCCAACCAAAGCCGCTAGTCTGCTTCTAACCCAAGTACATTCTAACTCGGATTCAAGCTACTAAGGTTGGTGCCATCGTCGGTGGTCAAACGTCCTGCAAGGCCCCGGAGCTCGCCGCATTCGAAAAACATCTGCCCCCCGATGTAGAGATTGTATCTTGCCATTCGCTACACGGGCCTAAAGTGAATACACAAGGCCAGCCTCTGGTATGGTCAACTTCAAGCCTGAATTCTATACTATCTCGGACATGCATTAGTAACGCAGCGATCTAGGTCCTCATCCAACACAGAGCCTCGGACGAAAGCCTCAAATTCGTTGAAACCATTCTCTCCTCGTTCGGCTCCAAACATGTCTATCTCACCGGTGAGATGCACGACCGAATCACCGCCGATACACAGGCTGTAACACATGCTGCTTTCCTGAGCATGGGAACCGCTTGGCAGGCCAACAATCAGTTCCCCTGGGAGCATGGACGATGGGTGGGCGGCATCGAGAATGTCAAGATCAATATCACCTTGCGAATCTACTCGAACAAATGGCACGTCTATGCCGGGCTCGCCATCCTCAACCCAGCGGCGAAGCAGCAGATTCGCCAGTACGCCGAGTCGGTCACGGACTTGTACAAACTGATGATTGGAGGACAAAGAGAAGAGCTCAAGCTTCGAGTGAAGGCTGCAGGTGCGTCAGTTTTCAAACCTGGCTCTGAAGGACAAGATTTGTTATTGAAGGATGAGGTACTGGATCGGTTCTCTCTGTCTAATCGGCCGCGCGAGAAGGCGCCGCCGAACAGCCATCTCAGTCTACTTGCTATTGTTGACTGTTGGTCGAAACTCGGCATTGTTCCTTATGATCATATGATCTGTTCCACGCCGGTATGTATCCAGTCATGGAGAGTATATCACCAAATTGCGGTTATATTAATACCCTGCAGCTTTTCCGTCTCTGGTTGGGCGTGACCGAATACTTGTTCCGCAACGAGGATCTCCTCGAGGAGGCATTAGACACCGCGATTGATGACAACACTTTCCGCTCGGATGATTTAGAATTCACATTTGCTGCTAGGGTATGTTTTGAACAATATCCCCGGAGCCTGTCCGAGCCATGCTAGATTCGACAGTTTATACTAACACGATACTTTCACCAGGCATGGTCCGACTGTGTTTCTTTCGGTGACTTCGAGTCTTACCGTCACCGATTTGAGCGGATTGCAGAATACTTCGCGCCCCGTTTCCCCGAAGCTGCCACGCTCGGTAATGAGATGATGAAGACCATTCTGGAGAAGACTACCTCCAATAACTAATGAACTGGTAACGGTATAAAATACCTCGGTATTCCTGTGAGTGCATTTTATCAGTATGAGCAAGACTGGGAAGAACGGGCGGAGTACCAAGTAGTTTTATCAGAATGTATGATCTTGGAATTCTATGATAAATTAAATGAAGATCACTGGAATGATCACACCATTATTCAATAAGAAATGAAAACTCTCATTGCGCTTCACGTGTGGCATGGTGCCCAGGTACAGGTCCACGAGTGGCAAAGCTGGAGCGATAAGATCCTTAGTCAGCGGTTTGTTTCTCAGGGCCAGCTCCAGATCTGCTTGAATCAAGTACGTACCTTGTAGTGGCACAAGAGCAGTTTGACGATCAACGCTGTGTTCAAGTTAACAGTTGATGACCGATTTGACAGGTGGATATGGCCACTAGCATCTCCCTTTAATCATCAAGCGACTTGTGACTGCGCCCCTCCCTTACGCTTCCCCATACTGCCCTTGCTCCGCTCCGCTCGACCCTCCCGCTAAAACAAGCGACCTCAATGCAGCCATCCGATACTTAGAACACTTGTGATAGATGATAGCGAAGCCAGCAAGGCTAGATGGAGCTCTATGGCTTCCGGGCACAACTCAGCATACTCCGCGTCGACTCAGCATCGTGCACTGGGTGATGGACGCTCTTCGCTCAGTCAAGATGGCGGCTCCGCCGATGGGAGCTGGCAGGATAATATCCCCAATATTGGGAGGAACAGGCGGTCCGAGTCTGGAGGGAGCAGCAACATGGGCGGACGGGGAGGATCATTCGCGCCCTCATTAGCTCCCTCATTGGCACCATCCATTGGTGGACAAGGTAGCTTCAGTGCGGAGCTCAAAAGTTCGACTTCACGCAGTGCCACGCCCCGAGCGGACGGCCAATATAACAGACGTGCTAGCAGATCGATTGACGAGGAAGATTTCCACACAACCGAGCAACGACAGGCTTTCCTTCGAGACAGGATCGCGAGGGAACTGAAGATCAAGAGCGGAACAGAGAATATGCTGGAGGCACTACTAGCGAAACCACCGAAGCAAACCAAAGAGCAGCGTCTCAAGGTGGAGTCAGAATTGAGCTCATCAAACCGCAAGCTGGTCGAATTGCAGCATAAACTGGAAGAAGAAATATTACGTGCGCAGGCGCCGGCCTCGACTCCTCCACGCAGCAGCCGCCTTTCGAGCATTTTTCGAGCCAGCCCTATGCGCTCACCAACTCGAAACAATGATCCCGTTGGATCTGTCAATGGCGATGGGGAAGAAGGCGGCGAGGGTGACGTGGAGTCGCCAACCTATGTCCTCTCGGAAACGTTGCAGGCGTTGGAGATAGAGGGCATGTCCCCTGATTTCTATGTCGAGCGCGCCAACAGCTTGGTTGAATTGTTCAAACGGCATCCCACATTGAAGTATGACCTCGCATGGCCTGTTTTTGGCTTAAGGGTCCAGGTCATGCTTTTGAGCGACAGTAAAGAGGTGGTAGCTGCGGGTTATCGACTAACACGCTATGCCATCGCCGATCGCAAATCCTTACAAATCATCCGAACACTACATACCGATGAGCTCGTGATATTGTCACTGGTTAAAGAAACCAAGGCAAGCATTGAGAGGGAACAGGCATTGAAGTTTGTGAGAAGCTTCCTGGATGTCAAAGATGGTGTCCGAGAGATATCACGCGCTGTTGCGCGGACCATCGTCGCTGTTGCTGAACATCATGAGGATCGTCTTCGGAACATTTCAATCATGACCCTGGCTGAGATGTTGGTCAAAGATCCCGAGCTGGTTGCTTCTGCCGGTGGATTTGCTGCGTTGCATGATGCGCTCGCAGAAGGGACGTTCGGCGCCTCAGAGTCTTTGATATCGAGTTTCCTGCATGTTGTGGACACTCCTCGCAGTCGAAAGTTTCTCCAAGGGTCCGAACTTGAAGCCGTTCTCACGCCTTTCACGGATTCATTATCCGACACACTACGCAACGGGCGGTTAAAGTCTGCAGCGCGGGCAATTTCTGCGATGCTAAAGACTTGGCCCGGGTTGGTTATACTTGCCAGGCATGACTCACAACCGTTGCGTTCTCTCCTTGATTCGCTTCATTACAATGATCCCATAGCCCGAGACTTGATTATGGAGCTATTATTCGACGCTCTGCGAATAAAACCCCCCTCCTGGTCATCATCTTTCCTCGCGGGCAGACGACTCACAACTTATGGTAGAGTCTCGAATCTTCGTTCTGATCTTGAAACATCAAGAGCCAACCGCGCTTTCAACGACACTAATAGCAACAAATTTGATCTGACTGCTCATTTCTCTACTCTCATATTGGCCGGTTTGGTCGAGGCAGGGCTCCCAAAGGTATGCATTGTTTTTCCTAGATCTGGCTTAGTGCAATAGTTGACGAAATGTAGGTTCTCTCCGACGTCATTGAGGACGAAGCGGATCTCTCTCTCAGACGTAAAGCAACTCTGCTGTTGACCGAGGTTCTCAAGCTCGCCCATCATTCCTTACCCCAAGCTGTCAGCGCAAAGCTTCAAGTGCTTCCACACCTAATCCCACCTGCAATCGACTTTGAAACTGAGAATCATGACCTTTCAACCTCAACTATCTTCCAAATCGATAGTATCAATCGGACATTGGCTCGTTCTGGTGGATATCCCAGTGGGCAGGGCCGATACAACATGGAGACTGATTTATCGGTTTCTCTCCTTCCCGTTGAGCAAGGGAAAGACAAGATGAGTCCTTCCATGGACGAGACCCAGTTCCGTAATGCCATCCTGGAGACTCATGTCCTGAACACCGTCAACTTTAACAAGTGGAAGTGGGAAATTATCCATCGCCTAGTGGAGGGTCCTCTCACAAATCCAAAAAGAATGGACGAGGCAATCAAAGGCTCTAAGTTCATGAAACGTCTCATTGGGTTTTACCGGCCTTTCAAGTATCGCTTCTCCATGGTCTCAAACTCAAAGGCAAATCAACGATATGTTCGAACAGGCTGTGTTCTTATGCGCACTCTCGTTATGACCCCCGAGGGCACCAAGTATTTGGCTGAGAACAAATTCCTTCGCCAGGTTGCGGAATGTCTGGCGCAGCTAGACCGCATGAGTGGGCTAACTTCTGCGTCCCCGCTTTTCTCCAAAGAGCAGATGGCCACTACTCTAAGTGGAGGCTACTTCGCAATGCTAGGATCACTAAGTGGCGATGTCAACGGGCTGCTCATGATGGAACGATGGCATATGCTCAACATGTTTTACCACATCATTGAGCTGCAAGACCGGAATGACCTCATTCAGACTTTGTTAGGAAATATGGATTACAGCCGCGCAAGTCACCTCCGGGTCATGCTTTCCAAGGCTCTGACAATTGGTTCCAAGGAAATCCGGATCTTTGCGACGAGACTCCTGCGCAAATATGCCGTTGGAGATCTAATTCTTTCGCCTCACGTGGCGATTGGAAATGCAGAGTGGGTGGTCAAACTTCTTGTCACCCAGTTGTACGATCCCGAGGTCACGGTCTGCCAGGTTGCGGTAAAAATCCTGGAAGAGGCATGCAATCAACGGGATTATCTCGAGTTCGTGGTCAAATGTCGACCCTCCCTTGATCATCTAGGTGAAATTGGTGCACCGCTACTTCTCCGATTCCTGTCGACTTCTGTGGGATATCACTATCTAGATGGTCTTGATTACATCACCCAAGAGATGGATGACTGGTTCCTTGGCCGCAACGATAGCTATGTTGGTCTTGTTGAGGCTGCTCTTTCCCGAGCTTACGTCGAGCAACCACGACGTAGCAGCCTTGTCCCCGAGGATCTCGTAGATCTCCAGGATATTGGGCTGGTACCACCACATTTCTATCGAGAACTTGCTCGAACTGCCGAGGGGTGTAAGCTGCTGGAGCAGTCGGGTCATTTCAATGAATTTGCCTGGACGATTCGTGATTTCAGGCTGGATGAAGAAGATAATGAAATGCTTCTCAAGGCTAAAGGATGTCTTTGGGCTGTTGGTAATGTCGGCTCAATGGAGCTTGGCGCACCATTCTTAGATGCTGAGATCATCCAACGGATCGTGCAGATAGCAACCAGTGCAGGAGTTCTCACCATGCGAGGCACTGCTTTCTTCGTTTTGGGCCTGATCTCTCGCAGTCGACATGGACTTAAAGTCCTGCGGGGTTTGGGCTGGGATTCCGGTGTTGATCAAAAGGGAGACTCACTAGGACTTTGTCTCCCTACTGATTTCCGAAAATTGTTCTTGGTGAGTATCTTCCGTCCCTTCACCTTCGTCTCATTATGCTCATCCATCTAGATTTCATTCCCTGGCTTTGATCATAGATTGAAGCGAACTCCCAAGGAGAAACTCAAGGAAGCCACCACGGACTCCGATCCCGGCAATCAACGCATCTTGAAGTTGATCGTTGATATGGGGAACACAGTGCTCTCCAAACGAGCCGCTTCTGATCTTCACATGTAAGGCTCTCTGTTTTCATTCTGCGATTTCTCACATTTTCTCACAATTTTCAACCACAGCCTAAAATCCAAACAACCCGAGCGATTCCATCAAACCCATCTATTCCGCAAGACTCTATGCATCCTAGAGAGTCATCACTACAGACTCCCAGCTCGACGTTTTGCCTTGGACTTATTCGACAAGAGTGTCATGCGACGAATCGTCCTCGATGAAGATTCCGACTCGGAATCGGACTCGTCAGGTACTTCTCAGTCAGAATAAATTCCTTGATCATTTCCTCTCATTTTGAACTATCCTGTCTTGCCAATATACCCTGCAAGACGGCTGATTGGGTCTTTGGCTTTTTGTATTCTGAGCGACGATTTATGCATGTTCAATCTATGACTCTAAATTTTTTTGGATGCCTCATAACGCAGTATGTCGGAGTACAAAATTCTCAAATAGATGCCGACAAAAATCTTGACCTTCAGAAATTAGCACGTAGATCAGACAGGGTATCCTTTTGAGCATCATAGTTCGTCTCGTTTATACGGCCTTGAACCCTTTACTTTTCAACTTCAACTCACCTCTATGGTTGATCGTCCTTTAATAGGGCTAAGATAATGCTACTGGGTAACTTCCTGGTTGATATAAACTTCCTTTTGTGAACATCTGGAATTTTCATTGATCATGTTAAGTCGCTCAATCTCTCTTGCATAAACTCCAGGATCACCGCATGTGCCTCATCTGCCACAGGCAGACCGGGAAACACAGTAAAACCATGGGCGGCACCAGGGTATATCTTGACTATAGCCTCACCACCGGCGATCCTCCACTTAGAACTCATCGAGATCGTGTGATCAAGCAAGCGATCCTCTGTCCCGCACAGGGGGGCAACGATCCAACGGGAGAGGCCGCAACCAGTGCCTGAAGGTCCTCATATAGCGGGGATACATAAGGATGTTTGAGCTCGGCCATGCTCATGCCTGGTACATATATAGGATGAAGTTTTAGTTTCCAATGGGTTTGCTCCTTCCTATAACTAGATGTAGGTTAGGTCCTCCGTACACTAATTAGCCTCACTTTCCCGATCGGGTGCCCACGTTATGCCGCTTTATGAGGGCGGTCAAACTCCTACCAAGTATTCCACATCTCTAACCACATCCAGGCATAGGATCCAGACTTCTATGTCTTCATGAACCCATCTGCTTTCAGGTATGAGCCGCCGTATAGGGGCTGTCAAATCTCGACTCGGGTGCAAAACCTGCAAGTATGTTTCCGCTGCCGTTTTCAGAGTCCTTGAGCTCTGACCGCCCCCAGAATCCGAAGAGTCAAATGTGGCGAGGAGAAGCCAAGTTGCCTTCGCTGCTCTAGCACAGGACGGAAATGTGAATATGAGGATAGAGAGGCATCGCCTTGGATTACCTCCGCTCCCAGACACGCACTATCATTGTCTCAAAATGCAGCGCGGCGAGAATGTCGCGCATTTGAATATTACTTTCAACACGTGTCTCAACATCTTGCAGGTGGATCAGATGTAGATTTCTGGACGGGAGTTGTTCCGCAGATCTGCCGCAGTGAACCCGTTGTGTGGGACGCAGTGATTACAATTAGCGCATTGTACGAAAATCCGAGGCAGTGTGTGGACTTTCATTTTTTGAGGGGTCGCCGAAATGAGGCATATTTGCTTAATCATGCCCAGCAGGAAGCATTGATATGGTATTCGCGATCGATATCTGGTGTTTCCTCGCAGATCCAGCGAGGAAATACAGATCCTTACATTGCACTCATCAGCTGCGCACTATTTATCTGCGTCGAGACAATCCAAGGACGTATGGAGAAGGCCTTGGAGCTTTACCGACAGGGTATCATTTTGATGCTTGACCTCCATGCCCAAATCGCTCATGGAGGAGTATCCACCAGTAAGGCTGTTCTGTTAAAACGCAGCATTGCTCCATTATTCCTACGGCTAGGCACAAGTTCCCTGACCATTTCAGGGGCTCAGTTTTCTATGGAACCTTTTGCCTTTGTAGAAACAAACATGAGTGCTGGCTTTGCATCCGTCGATTCCGCAAGGACCACTATCTCTGCCCTGGCTGCGGAGGCTATCCTCTTTGAGCGTGAGGCAAACTTACACCTCAAGGAAGTTGGTGCAGATTCCGCTGTAAGCCCAGAAATGGCCGCGAAAAAAGAAGCGCTCCAAGCCCGTCTCGCTGAATGGCATCGGGAATACACCAATATTTGCCAAAGCAACAGCTCTGCACCCGCTGTCCCCATGTACCCAGAGCCTATCCTGCTTACATACCATGCTGCTGCGTTGATTCTAGTGACAGGATGCCTAAGGCAACAGGAAACCGTTTTCGATTTCCATTTTGAAGACTTTGTCACTATCGTCGAGCAGTCTAGGTTGATTCTCAATGCCTCAGCAGGTCCTAATGGCACCCAACCACCATTTACATTTGAGATGAGTGTGGGTGTCCCTCTCGCTATGACTGTGATGAGATGTCGGGACCCAAACATACGGCGAAGGGCTTTGGATCTATTGCGACTATCACCTCCAATACAAGGATTTTTCAAATGCGCCCCTGTGGCTCTTTTGTCAGAAGTATTGATGAAACTGGAAGAGGGCTATAGCCTTGCTCTGAGGCAGGAGAACACAGTAGCACCTTCGCACAAAATTACCGACAACAATGTTTTAATCGGCCTACCAGTCGCCATAACAACGGATGAGACAAACAGGTCACAAGCAGCCCTCATCCCCGAAGAGGCTCGTATACATGACTATGGTATCTTCAGATTGAATGAATGGCAACCTTCGTGGATCACTGAGGAAGATCTCGCACCGTTTCCCCACGGTTCAAACCAACTATATTTGGGGTTTTCAAGAAATCAATACGACAAGGAAAGCAGCACTTGGCGGCCGATTTCTCAATGTATACCCTTAGAGGCCAGTTTTTAAATGATCGGATCTCTCATGTCTCATATTCATTTATATCGTTAAGTATTTGAAATCTTATACAAAAATGAGCACTTGAACCGAGCACAAGTGCGTTTTATCTTATCCAACCCGTGCTAGGGCCATAAGGATTGATGGCTCCGGCCCAGCCCGACAAAGTCAACATTTCACAGCCTCATCGTGGATTCTATCAGAATCCTTATCAAATTGCGAAATTGAAGCGGTGCCGTTTAGTAGTTGAATCTGTAGGGAGTGGGTAAACAGCTCAATTGACTTGGTGGAGCAGGATCAAAAAACGGCAAGAGGTGACTAAAATGGAAAGAGAAAGCCATCTCGGCCTGAAATCCGATGTACAATATAGATCCATGTGAATATGGATGTACACAGGTCCACCTGGTATCAATTGATGTAGTCATCAGATAGCTTATCTACTGAGCATCCATGTGTGGATAACATTTCCAACAACATACTAGGTGCATCGAATTAGCGTATCATTGTTCGCCGATGCCCCCGCCTTTTCGATAACAATGCCGACGTTTTGGAGTGGCCCCTCTTAATGGCTTGATAGTCCAAAAAAATATCGAGATTCATTTTGACATTCTTGCCTTATTTCTCTTCAATATGCCCGAATTGAATCTGGAGCTAGATCTTATTGTGCTGAACTGCACTTTGGCCACTGTTGAAGAAATTGTGCAATGCGACATTAGTGTCAAAGACGAGAAGATTCACTCAATTGTCCCACAAGGATCATTGACTGGCTCAAAGGCCAAAAAAATCATTGATGCCAAGGGAGCTCTGGTTACGGTTGGCTTTTCCCCCTATCACGAGTGAACCCATGGCCGTGTGCTGACTTTCTTTGAAGCCAGGAGGAATCGATGCCCATGTTCACCTTCAGGAGCCGCCTCTCTTTGGACTCGGCTCCACTGCAGATGGCTTCGAGTCTGGTCAGTACAGAGGCGATGATTGACATGTTCATCAATTTGACACATCCTAGGCACCCGCTCCGCGATTGCGGGAGGTACAACAACCATTGTAGCATTTGCACCTCAACGGAAGCATGAAGAGAGTGTTCTCGCAACCCTAGCTAGCGCTCAAGAGCGCGCTCATGAACAGTGCTACAGCGACTACTCGTTCCATCTTATCATCTCCAACCCATGCGCAAACACGCTTGCAGAGTTTCCAGCCTTCCGAAAGTTGGGTATCTCCTCCGTCAAGATATACATGACCTACGAAGCTTTGCGCCTCAACGACGAGCAATTTTTGGATGTCTTGTTCCAATCCCGTCTACACAAGGTCACAACTATGGTGCATGCCGAGAATGACTCTGTGATTTCGTGGATGACCAAGAAACTACATGAGCGCAATTTGTACGCACCAAGGTACTTTACTGCTTCTCACCCCGCTGCCGCCGAAATTGAGGCAAGCTACCGTGCAATCTGTCTTTCCGAGTTTATTGATACTCCTATCTTAATCGTACATGTTTCTAATCCTCGAGCTGTCGAGAACATTCGACAAGCCCAGGCAAACGGGCTTCCAATTTATGCCGAAACTTGTCCTCAATATCTATTTCTCAGCAACGAAAACGTGGATTTGCCTGGGCTCGAGGGGGCAAAATGTGTTTGCAGTCCACCGCTGCGCAACAAATCTGACCAAGAGGCTATTTGGGCGGGTCTCGAGGACGGGACATTTACCATTCTTTCGTCCGACCACTGCCCGTTTAACTTCGATGCCGCTGGCAAAGGATCGAGTGTAACCGCAGAACACCCTGATGGGCAATTTCACCTGGTTCCCAATGGATTATCTGGAGTCGAGACCCGAATGCCATTGGTCCTTTCGGCCGATCGACTTAAGATACAAAGATATGTGGAGCTGACATCGACCAACCCGGCCAAATTGTATGGCATGTACCCGAAGAAAGGCGCTCTTATCCCCTCGGTCAGTGATGCCGACTTCGTCATCTGGTACCCCGAAGGGGATCTTGATATGACTATCACCAACGACATCCTTCACCACGACGTTGACCACACTCCATTTGAGGGACACAAGGTAAAGCAGTGGCCGCGCTACACTGTACTTCGTGGACAAGTAGTTTGGGACCGGGAAGATGGAGGTGTTGTGGGTAGTCGAGGCTATGGTCAGTTTTTGCATCGCGCGGAGAGCATGTTGGCGGGTAGTAGGAGTGAGGGGTCTTGGGACGTTGAGACCGCGTGGGTTTAGTAGATAGGTATATATGTCTTCAATGCAGCCGTAAATTCCATAATCTAGAACCTAGTTTCTTCAACAATCAAATCTCTAAATTCACCATGTATTTGACGAGCTTGTGGTATGTATGTACACGGTTAATTTAATGCTAACTAAATTGGGCCAAGCGTTGTCATTTCGGTTATGGTGTTGTGCTTTTCATCCGTTCGAAAATAATTAAAGGTGTTGCAAAAGTAAATTTGAGAGGTAAAAATATCTAAATTATGATTGTATTTCCTGGACAATCTTAGGCTGAGCTGGTATAAAAGTATAGCAGTATCTCACCGGCTAAACGATGTACCGTGACACCAGGGGAACTATGGATGGTCCCGAGATCACCTCATTATCTAAAGTTGACCCGCATCTGGGCACGTGCAGATAGCGCATCCCCCCCAACCCCGAGCTTCACTTGACCAACGCTGAACTAATCCCGACCGTAATGGAGAGCTCAGATGTCTTAAGCTCGGAAGAGTATAAATCTAGCGATACGCCATATCTACCTCATCTCGTCATTCAGTTGATCCAATGCCAACAGTGCTCCCGCCCCTTGCGAAGTCCGCTCCGCCTACCATGCGGGAATTCGGTGTGTCGGGAATGTTTACCCGCCTTTCGGCCGCGGACTGGTATTACTTACCCCGTGACTGAGGGGAGGGACCAGGAATTTACATGTTTTTGGAAAGGAAACAAGGCGTGTGCTGGGGAGCATTGTGTTGGAGATTGTGGCGCTGATGTGCTGCTTGGAAAGCTGGTTGGTCTTTTTGGAGAGATACTGGGGTCAGAGGCAAACAACTTGCCTCAAGATTGGTCTCAGGATGACGGACTAGTACTGCGGTGGAAAACCGAGAGGCAGAATCAAAACGGAAGTGAACAGTTGCAGCGGCATGGGTTGCTCGGAGGGATCTATAACCTGGCACTGGAAGGCCGGCTCCCGTCTGACGCATGTGAGGTTATCTATGGAGATTCTACAACCCCAGCCGAAATAATAGAAGCGCAGGATATTATTCACTTCCAGACACTGCGAGACAGTCTCCGCGCTGAGTTAGACTGTCAGGTTTGCTATTCACTCGTTCTGGATCCGATGACCACGCCCTGTGGCCACACTTTCTGCCGAAAATGTGTCTCGCGGGTCTTGGACCATACCGATCTGTGTCCCATTTGTCGCCGGAAGCTAGGCATGCCGAACGATCTACAGTCGGAGCCCATAAATCAGGCTGTGGCTCAGCTCATCGACTTCTTTTTCCCCGACCAGATCTCAATCAGGCGGGAGACCAGTGCCCAGGATGAGATAGGCCCGGATTACGAGAAGAACTTGCCACTTTTTGTATGCACTCTAGCATTCCCGACAATGCCGACTTTCCTCCATATCTTTGAGCCCAGATACCGACTTATGATTCGGCGAGTTCTTGCAAGTGGAAATGGGAAGTTCGGCATGGTCATGTACAACCGGCAAGGGCGGGTGCAGATAGGTCGGCTGGGTGACGCACCCTTTATGCCACACGGAACGCTTTTGAAGATCGAGCGATTTGAGCTGCTTCCAGATGGCCGCAGTCTTGTGGTGGCTACAGGTGTGTCGCGGTTCAAGATCATTGATTCGGGAATGCTAGATGGCTATTATGTTGCCAAAACAGAGCGTGTAGATGATATTTCGCTCGCAGAAGAGGAGAGGCTTGAGTCGATCGAGACCTCAACACATGGTGTAAATGCTCTGCTAGAAGAGAATGGATCCGGTCCTCCTTTGGGCTCAATGCCAACTCAACAGCTACTCCTTTCGGCACAAGAGTTCATCAACAATCAGCGCAGAGCTGGGGCCCCTTGGTTGCACCCGCGCGTCATGCTAGCATATGGGCCCGTCCCCACAGACGCAGCCCGCTTCCCATGGTGGTTTGCAAGCATTTTGCCCATATCCGAAGAAGAGAAATATCCCATAATCGCCGCTACAAGTGTTCGAGCGAGACTGAAGATCTCGGCAAAATGGGCGAGACAACTCGAAGCTCGAGACTGGTAGGTACAACATATTTTCTCCCTGTTGATTGCTATTCTGATATTTTCGATCAGGTCTACTCGCTCATCACTCTTCTCTGTCTTATGACTATCCGTCCCTCTCCTCATCTTCTGCATCATCCCTCTATTATTGAGACCATTATCGGGGGTCTTCACCTCGATATCGCCGAATGTATTCACCTCGTTAACACCGTTTTCTTTCTCGGTCTCGGTCTCCTTTGGCGGCTCTGGGACTTCGTTCCCTGATATTAGCTCGCAAATATCTAATGAAGGTGATCAAACGCGCGACATTGGCCAGCAACAGCAGAAAGATGAAGTGTATGTCCATCAAGGATTTGTGATTGGTGCATTCCTAGTGATCTTCCTCGCTCAGGTTGGGTTTAACTTTCTGTATGCCGTTCGAACCGGAAGACGCAGACGACGGTTTCTGGAAATGCAGTTTCCACAACCCCTGCCACAGCGGCATCAGGAACAAGACCCTGGCTTGAATAGAGAGCCTGAGAACAATACGAGTACCGCAGAGGAAAGTGCACAAGATGATGGGGAGGCACGCCCCGTCACAGGAAACGCTCCTGGTGTTGGATAGTGGGATCCGACATGTCCAATATCCAAAATTTACCCCAATTTGGTCCTAATACTTCTAGCATCTGCTACTCACAAGCAATATACCCCCCCCCTTGACGAAGCTTTACGATATTTCTGTTTTTCTTTTTCTTTGTCTATCTGTCACTTTATCCAGGATTGTTGTACATAGAAGCCTTCATCGAGGCTCAACATGTTGATTTCTATATCTTCTTCAATGGCATACTCCGAGAAAGGAAATTTGAGAATCTAAGGAAAGAGCGTACCTAACTGTTCAGGGCTTCATTTTAGCTTGGCGTGTATCGTGTATGACTTGATTTGAATAATTGGACGTAACGCTGAGGAACTTGAGAATCCGAGTCCCCGAATGGCCGGAACTCCGCCAAAACTCCGTGGAGTTTTGCATATTAAGGCGCGCCTGCTTTACATTCAATGTATGGGAGCTATAGGTAACACCTAGGCACCTGGAGTGAGAATAAAAAAACTCCCAAGGTTGGAATATGAAAGTGCTGCTAGTATTATTATTGCGGCTCTAGGAGGGCTGCCCACTTTGTATAGCTTATGTAATATGTGTATTTTGTCTCCGCGTCTTCTTCATCGATCGAATCCCGAACAGCCAATAGCGCGCCATAAGTTCAATGAGATAGATAAATTGATATCTACATATCAATCCTATACTTAAACCTATTTGACCCTTATCAAGAGGCTAAACAGCACTAACACACCGATGACGTCGCTCTCATTATCGCTAGGCCCGCCAACCTTAGTCCGACTCCACGACGCCTTGATATGCCTGTCCAAATTCAGCGAAACAGTCGCCATCGAAGCAGAACCTGAAATCGTAGGTTTTTTTTTTCTTCTCGCTTTCTTGGGGGTGGATCAGTTCGGTCCAAATTCCGAAAACCAGCAAATAAATGTTCTAGCTAACTGTACCCCAGCTCCGTCTCAGTGCGCTCAATTCCACCAAGACGGGGTTTGCCTCCTTCACGTTCGAGAAGGAGGAATTCTTTGAAGCGTATTATTTTAACTCCAGCAATGATGGCAGGAGTGGCAGTGCCCCGCTGAACCGATTCTTCTGCCAGATCTACATAAAAGTGAGTACCTCGGTTTTTCTTTTCTCCCTTGGATGCCTATCTCACGGCATGTCTACGGGTGATTATCTTCCTTGCTTTATGCTGATATCGAATCCAGGCACTTCTCTCCATATTCCGTGGGAGGGTTGATAAAAACAAGGACACGGCCGTTGAACGCTGTGACATGGAATTGCATGAAGATCTACAACAAACTGAATGTAGACTGACTGTGAAGATGATATGTGGACTAGGTAAGACACCCTCGTATAGAGCTATCTTTCTTGGTTATATTACATATCTCTAACGCTATGTCTAGGCGTGATCAAGTCATACAAGTTGACCTACGAACCAGCGGCAATTCAGCATGCTGTCTTTGACAAATCCAAAGCTACCAGCATGTGGGCTGCCGATCCACGGTTCCTCAAGCAACTCATTGAGCACTTTAGCTTATCTGCCGAGCAGCTGGACATGTACTCCGATTCCGGCAGGGCGGTGTTCACAAGCTTTACAACAAAGATCACCGAGGGCAAGGGTATAAGTTCGCCATCAAAGCTCAAAGGTCTAGCTGACTAACAACCCAACAGAAATACTCAAACACCCAGTTCACACTTCTGTAGCAGCAGACAATCGTGACTTCCAAGAGTACTTGGTCGAAGAGAACATGCATGTCGCGATCAACCTGAAAGACTTCAAAGCCGTAGTTGCGCACGCCGAAACGGCAAACGCCACGGTAACAGCACGTTACACCCGGCCCTGCAAGCCTCTGCAACTGGAATACCGTTTCGAAGGCATCAGCGCAGAATTCACAGTCATGACCCGCGGCCAGGCAGACAGCGAAGACGTCCCCATGTCAACCCGAGCGACGATCCCACGGCAAACGCCTACTGTTCCAATTTCAGCGGTTAGGCCACGCGATACTCGCCCATCGGTGATACCAAGTGCACAGATGCCCCCGCCGCCACCGCGAAGCAGATCGATCCGCCCTCTAAATGGATCATCTACACAGGAGAATCTGAGCCAGAGGGCTAGTGTAGATCGACCGGCGGCATCTGGACTTTCGATGGAATTCGATAGCCTGTTTGTGCCTGCTGATGATGACCGGCAGTGGGATGAGATGAATGAAGAAGAGGAACCACAGGATATTCTTGGATGGGATGCGTCGGGAACACAGGTATGTGGTTGTTTTTTGCACCTCTGGTCGGTATGGATGGGTGGCTAACCAAATGCCCAGGACGCATTCGGGGCATCTATTCGCGACGCAGAGCCTTCCTTCTCGAAGCAGGATGAGCCGGACGATGAGATGGGTCTCCCGCCGACACAGCGTTTGTCTCAGGTATGTGAATTCCGGCTCTTGCGAAACTTTGATGCACGCATGCTGATAGGTGATAGGTTCGCCAATATGGTCTTTTCGACTGAGCAAAGAGCCATGTTAGGGTTAGTGCAGTTGTCACCAACTTTCGGCACTCCTAGATCCCAAAGCCGATCATGTCACAATCATCCAGCTAGTCGCACACCCTGCTCCAACCCCGACAACCTTCCCATCCTCCCCCACAGCCTTGGGGAGCGAAATCACATTATATGTACCCGATACATTCCCCTGGGAATCAGTATCGGGCCCACAGTTCCCATGCTCGCCCCATCCAAACGCCGCCACTCGACCATCTCCTAGGAGAGCAAGGGCATGCTCACTACCAACAGCGAGTTTAGCGGGAGGTGGAAGATCCGGCGGTGGAAGTTGGCCGCGATCATTGCGCCCCCAAGCAACAATGGAACCACCAACAGAATCAGAATCAGAATCAGAGTTTGTCTGTGCATCCGATTGAGACCTAGTCCATGAGGCTTCGGCCGACGGCCCCGCCCGTCCCAGCCCAGGCGCAGCATGTACATAAACTCCATGCCAACTAGCCGCAATACCACTATAGCAATAACAGATAGTACCTCTGCACCCTCCATATTCCTCTAAACCTCCATCCCCATGACCCCGCCCCGCACGCAAAGATAAACTCTCCGGCACACCCACCACTCCCCACCGATTCCCCTTATCCCCAAGAACAACAAACTGCCCCCGCCCCGAGACAACCGTAAATTCCCTCCCGCAAGCAACAGCCTCCGCAAAAAACGGCACACAAATCTTCACAGGCGAATAAGCAATCCTAGCCTCTCGATTTTCCCTCCCGAGCTGGCCCTTCCGCGCCCCGCCCCAACCATAAACATCTCCATTAGAGAGCACAGCAACCGAGTGAGCCATCCCGCTTGCCAGCGCTGTGATCTTCAAACCAGCTGGCGGGAAGGAGGGGATACATGTCCCCGGGACGGGAGTGGATGTGCTTTGTCCTAGACCTAGTTCACCCTTAGGCGAGGAGCCGAATACGAAGACCCGATCTTCTGTATCGGGTTTGTCTCCATGGTGAGCGACGTTACTGTTACTGCTTCTTGGCACAGAAGCTACAGCAATCGTGCCCTCCCACGTCGCGGAAACATGTTTGAACTTGGATACTTCTGTGTCGGAGGTTGCGTCTGAGAGAATTATTTGACGAAAGCGCAGGATTTTTCCTTCATTGTTGTCGGACTCGTGCCCGTTTTTGGTTGGCCTGTGCGGCCCGCACCGTCCGTCTGTATTACAGCCGGCGGCGTAGATGGAGCCGCTGGTTGTTAGGAGGAGGGTGTGGTTTCCACCTGCTGCGATGGTGACGATTTCGGATTCATCTGTCAGATTGGTATTAATGGTGGTTGTTTGTGATTCTTGTGGCTGCTCGAAGAGACATTGCGTTGGCGTGGAGACGTCTTCTTCGTGGCCGATGCCGAGTTGGCCTGATCCATTAGAGCCGAAGGCATAAAGTCTCATGGTTTTTTTTTTCTTTCTTTTTCTGGGGTTTTATGTTTGGGATATCATCGAATTTGATCAAGTGTGTGGTGCATATGGGTAGATATACCGAATAGTAATGTCTGACACTAGAACCCATTTGAGTGCTCACCTCCTGCCGCTTTTTGATGAGTAAAACTGAGCACGTTCTTGGGTACAGATGATCACTAAGTATTATCTAATCATTGTGTGTAGCCAGCCAATGGGTAACAGGACAGTCTATTAGCGCTACTGGTGGCCTCCAGATGCTGTAGACACAACACGTCATATTATTTGATCCTCCTGTACGGAGTATTTAAGCAGGACCGGTCCGAAATTCAGGGGGTTTTCATGCTTGAAATTAATTAGGCTAAAATTGGATTACAGGGCGGAATTGCTATGTGATTTGTCACGTGACTCGTTTGTTTGCTCTAGCTTTTCATCCTTGGCATCCATCTATCCAGAGACTGATTGTTTTTCCTGATCTGCCTCCTCCTCTATTTACAACAAGATATTCTATTTGGTTGCCTGCTAATTATTTCGTGGATTTGGTCCATTTCTGGTGACTAGATGGGAATTCGGTGATCTCCATCCCATTCGAGTAGACTTTTCGACTCTTCTGAGCAGTATATGTATCGTATAGTCTCCTTTTTGAAGGGGCTCATTCGTCCTGAACGCCTATCACGCTGAGTGTCGGTCTATGAATCGATAATTTCCCCGTGGGATCTAGCTTGTCTAGCTCTTTGAGAGAAAGATCTAATTCCGTCGGACTTTGCAATGGCAAATCGGCAATACCAGGCGAGAGTCCAAAGAGCGGTGCGGGACCAGAGAAAAGTACTGCGAATTGCCAGTGTTGGCTCCAGAGCATAGAATCCAAAATACCCTCGTAGCTCTCTATTTTTTCGCCCTTTTCTTGAATTTTTTGGCGTCTCTGAGACTCAAACAGGACAGAGGCGCTTAGTCTTGCCCCTTAACTGAAGCCTAAAAGACCAACCCATGGTCTACACCCACCAGATCCATCGTCTTCGGCCATTGCATCTTCAAGGCACCTTCGGGTCGCTTCTATGTGGTACTTTGGCTTGAGTACCCGATGTGAGGGAGACCATCGAAATCATCATCGAAAGGGATCAGCGCTTCCATAGACGAGTAGCATTCCCGGCCCGGCTTCACAGAAGAAAGGACCGTTGGCAAGACAAAGCGAAAGGACGAGGATAACCTTTCGCGGAAAACTTGCGTCTGAAGAAACAACACACCCGCGTTCGAGCCAACCCCTAGGTCATTGTTAGATTTAAAAAAATATATATACCACGAGATTGGTACACCATTCAACCGGTTCAACTGTATGGTGAATGACGTACCGTGGAGGCAAAGGATTCGAGGTAGCTAGAGTGTATCACCTATAGTTGGCCAAAAGTTATCTCTAGCCTCTAAATTGGCATTAATGCTAAGTAAATTTTTAGCTCCCAATATTATTTATAGAAGCTGCCTGATTCATTACAGCTCTGATTCAAGATGTACACACTGCGTACAACATATTTGATTTGGGCAATATCAAGACCTCTCGAGTCCCAAATTCGAAATAGTGTGACGTGTCATGTCACAGAGGGAGTACCAGCAGTAGTTCTCAGTAATTCCTGATGGTTCGAACAAGGGTACACGCATGACGACATAGCAAACGATTCAATGCTTTTCCATTGGCTCTTGTCCTCTATCTTAGCTACGTACAGGAATTGAAAGCTGAAATCAAAAGGTCAACATCCGCCAGGAAATGTGGCTGTAATTTTGGCTGGCGCTATCCACACGGCTCTATGTGGGCCCGGGGGCGTAACTGGCGTTTTATACTCCGTAGTTTTTGTTCTTTGAGAGTGGTGAACAGACCTTATAGGGAAATTTTATAGATATACGGTTTAGAATCTTGTTCTGAATAATATATAGCTTTACACAACAACATACATATGTATGTATTTTGAATGAATTACCCCATAAGGCCCGAAGAGCTATGCGACGACTACAAGTGTGAATCATGTTACCTTAGCAGATCGTGGAGGCGATAGATCACTGATCATCACATCCCCTCTCGCATTTGATTCTCTCTATGTTCGCCTTGTTCGCCTTGTTCGCCTTTTGACTCTCAGAGCGTTTCTACCATCCCCTTGCCGGCCTTGTCACAATGGACGGCCTGGATCTCTCCTCAATGGATATGAACGTATACCGTGATCAAGTAGCACTCGTGAATCAAGAGCCCACACTATTCCAGGGTCCCATCCGAGATAATTTCCTCCTCGGACTGGAGACGAGCTGCAAGGACGCACATATCCTTGATTTTAACCATTCACTCCCGTAAGCAATTCCCAAAATCACATCACTAGTAACAACTGACTTTATCATGCAGTCTCGAATTTGATACTATGTGTTAAGGAAAGGAAAACAACTTTTCCGGCGGTCAGAAACAGCAACTAGCAATTGCCCGGGCCCTTTTGAGACGGCCCAGTGCCCTGTTACTAGACGAAGTCGCGTCGGCGCTGGACTCGGAATCCCAAAACTCAGTCCAAGCTGCACTCGACCAAGCTGCAAAGCAGCGCACGACAGTTGCCATCGCCCATCGCTTGAGTGCTGTCCAGAATGCGGACCTCATCTGGTTGCTGGAGGACGGCGTGGTTGTTGAATCTGGAACACACGCCGAGCTCGTACGAATACGAGGGCGTTATTTTGCCATGTTGAGGTTACAAAACCTAGAAGCATAGATGATACAACCTTCGGCTGAAACTTCTCCAAGTTCCTTTGTTTATCTACACAATACAGAGTAGACATTATTCAGTTGAGGCTTGAGAGTAGCAACTTCCTGTGCTCGCTATTCTCATTATGTGGGCGTGATTCATCTCTATAATAGCCAGAAGAAATTGGTGTACCAGTGTAAAATAGCACAGTGTGTTGATTTCGAACACTCGCCGACGTTCAGATTCGCTCTCACTTAGTATCGTTTGAACTGTCCCGGTTGCCGCATTATCGATCAATATGGAGGGATTTCCGCGCTCTCTCTTGACTATGGCCGCAAAATATGATTGGGTCGAAGCTCCAAGAGGCATGATTCTTCAGTCCTAGCTACCAAAATCGCTGGTCGAAGTAGGCTGGTAGTCAGTGCGAAGGGAGGACTTGAGATTTCAATCAAAATAAGATAAAGTGTAAAGATCAATTCCTGTCTCAGGCTAAAGTTGCAAAATCCAGTCTCTTCAAAGGTTGACTACAAGTCCAAAATTTAATAAACGGTCTTAAAAGATGAGCAATATATGTGCATTTGCCAGTCCAAAAAGTGGTATCAATATCTAATCGCAATTGCAATCGAGGGGTCCGCTTCGCGCATCAAACAAAACTCAAGCTAATTCATATAGCGAACATGAAGGTTTCCAAACAAAAAGGGACTTAGTGTATATGCATGATAACTTTTAAAAGAAAAAGTTGAAAAGAAGAAAAAATTATTCATGGCTAGCTAAAAAAAAAGACAATCATGGTCGCATGACAGGCAATAACCCGAGGACCGAGCAAACGAATCGCTTAGTGCTTCTCATTAAAAGAATCTTCAGCCTCGCTCTCAGCAGGTGGGGGTAAGGTGAAGGTATCCTGTTTGGCAGAAGACGCATTCTTCTCCATACCCTTAAACATGGGGCTGGTACGGTGGAAGTATGTGTGCACGTGGCCCTCGAGAAGCGAATCATCGGTGTCAAGAGCGTCAGCAGCATCCTTTTCGGCAGACTTGGCGGCCATAGCTGTCTCCCACTCGATGCGGTACTCCTCAACCTTCTGTTGATAGTCGAGCTCGGCATCGTAGTAACGGCTCTTGCGCAAGACGTAGCGCTCGTACCAGGACAGGTGCTTGGGGTGCACGGCAGGACCGTGGTAATCTTCCTCACGGCCCTGGCGAAGGTATTGCCATCGGCGCTCCTGCTCCTTCAAGTCCAGACCAGTGGTGTCGGGAAGGAAGAAGGCGGTGATCACAGCACCGGCCAGACCAAACCAAGGCACAACGTAGAACTTGGTCTGGGTATCGATGTAGTTGTACAGGACGGCAGCAAGAAGGGCACCGGCCTTACCCCAGGCAGCGGACATACCGTGAGCGGAGGCACGAATGGGGGTGGGGAAAACCTCGGCAGCGACCAGGAAGGAGACGGAATTGGGACCGAACTGGTTGAAGAAAGAGCTGAGGAAGTACATGGTCTGGAAGGACTTGATGTTCTCGGGGCGACGGTAGTACTCGAAGTTGAAGGCGGGAACGATAAACAGAATGAAGCAGAGCATGAAACCAATGATCTGCATCCACTTGCGACCGTACAGCTTGTTGTCGATCATGAAAGAGGCCAGGTAGTATCCGCACAGAGACACGCCGACATTGACCAAGTTCCACAGCCAGGTAGGCATGACGGAGTTGGATGCGGGGCTGATGACCTTGATGAACTCGCTCTGGAAGAGCTTGTTGCCGTAGAAGAAAACATCATTGGCGAACCAACCGCCAGCAGTTGCGAACATCCGGAATCCGAAGTACTTGAAGGTCAGCTTCAGGGACTGGGCATCATAACCAGTGACGGACGCCTTCTTCTTGGCAGCGGTAAGTTGCTTGCTAGCAGCCTTCATGTGGTAGGCACGGTAGTACACAAGCCACAAGGTACCGACGGCAGGAATAGCGAAGGAAACTCGGTACGTCCACTGAACGGAGACGGCGGAGTAAGGGTTGTTGCCACTACCGTGGTGGAAGCAGAGCAGGAGGATAATCAGAATAACCTGGTTGAAGAACTGACCCCAGCCCTGCATCAGGAAGGCGCTGGTGACCTTGCGGCCACGGTGCAGGCGATCCTCTTTGGTCGAGACCTTTCCAGAGCCGATAGCGTTTTCCATACCACTAGTGGCAGTCATGGGGTATTCACCACCAACACCGATACCGTAGATGAAGAGACACCAAGCATAACAGATGATCCAGCCATTCTGGGTCACACCCCAAGCGGCAGTCAACA